AAACCGCCTGATCGTGTGTTGGAGCTGAGTGGCATCTTCGGTTTCCTTTCTCTCCCCAGTCACCGATGTCAAGGTGCCAGTGCTGCCTAAACGCACCGACATCACGACGTTCAAGGCGCTGGTCGAATACGAGACTCAGCCTGTCCTCTTCATTCCCGACATCCACTTCGCCAACCTCCAGCGTCATGTGAGTACCCCTCTCTTCCCCGCGCCTCTCGGGGCCCTGCTGTGCCGACGCTGCGATTCGCAAGTAATTCGATTCTCTTGCTCTGCCGAGAGGTAGTGATTCGTATCCTTGCAGTGCTTTTGTCCCACTGCCCAAGCACCACAACACCAAGCCAGTGTAACTAAAATATCAATAAGAGGCTTAACTGCTATAAACAACCTCTCTGTTGTGTCCTGGCTATGTCTAGCGCTAATAGTCTATCTAGCCCATCGCAGAAAGGTCTTCGGCATACACTCTGAATAGTTCACATCAAGTTCCTTTTTTTAATTGTTTGCAAACTTGACTCTACATGAGCTCTTCAAGTCCGTGTAGCAAGATATAGGTAACAGACTATGGTCAGAAGCACTCCGGCCCATATAGAATGGCTTTTCCTTGTGCAGGAAGTGTAATGTACAGCATGCTTCAAGAGTTTTAAAGATTAAAGAGTCTTACTCTGTTGAGTAAGAGTACATTTATACAGACCATGGACACTGTCAGACACATTACCAGCTTATGCAAGCTGACTCTCATAAAGGACTTTTTAAAAATGTGGACACAGGGAGGCCATACATTTCCAGGTCTTTGCAAAAGAATGTGTATTTTTAGTGTCCTTGCTTGTGTGATACTTTCCTTGGGTTTTTCTAACTTCATATCCTTTATACATTGAAAGTACCTTACGCGTTGATTTTCATCTGAGGCAGTGGGAAAATCTCAGTCTTCAGATTTTTTCAGGAGAAATAAAACTAGCTATCAAGGGTGTAGTTATTCTGAGATCACACATATGGTCAGTGCCTGTTTTTTTTTTACATGCAAATGGCTTCCACGCGCAGTGTTCAGAACCAAGATGTTAACTGTGAAATTAAGGTTTTCAGAAATAACGTGGGATTTTTCTCGTTAAATAACTGCACTGCTGAGTTGAGCGCCTCATCTACACAAAAGCTGTAAAACCAGCTGTAAAACCAAATGTCTGTTATATACTTATAAAAAGAGTTTAATAGCCATTGTTACCAGGCTTATTAAAATCTGTTGGATAAGCACCTTCACGTGTCTCCGCGGTAGGTCTTTTTTCCACTCATTTCATACCTTTTACACACTCACAAACACAAAATAGCAGACATCACATTGTAATCTTCACTTCTTGGCTCTCTGGTAGAGGTAAAAAAGGTGAGTGGTATGGCAGATGGAACATATTTGAAATTCGGTTTTTGGCGTGATTCCGGAAGCTGATCTGAGGTTAGGCTGGGGCACAGAAGGACAATGAGGCATATTGGCAGAGTTTTGACAAGATGGCCACTGTAATGCAGCATAAAACTATGTGAGTCAAAGCAGAACACGCTCTTGTGAACAGATGCTGTGGCCTTCATCTTTTCACACCAGTAAATGGAGGTTCCTATTGGCCTATTTGTAAAGACGCCATCAGCGTGGTTTGCGACTGAAATACTGGAAGGAACTGTGGCAAAGTCACACAGTCCGCTCATGATGAGCGCTCGACAAAGAACAAAAAGATGCAGTGCCAGCCCTCAGATGGCGGGATTCAAGTGACACTCGCACAAGCAGTTTTCAGCCGCAGTACACTAGAATTCTGGTGCTGCTGTGTTGTGACAGAGACTCTGAATTCCAATTAGTAAAAACGTTTTGTTTAATATGAATTAAGAGTTTTAGATCCTGATGAACTGAACAATAGGATTCTACTAACTCACATAGTATGTTAAACATAAATAATAATAAGGTCTTTTTATTTGAATGTATGTTTTAACCTTCTTCAGGACTGTAATTACAATTCTCCTCCTTTCTCTTCTCTTTGCAGCCATTTTCTGCCGAGGATGGGGATGAAGGGTAAGGATAAACTTTTGTATTTCTTCATTTATGTCTGCAGGGCTGGCTGAAGTATTGGAGTTGGGGTGGGAATGGGGGTACAGTGTGAGATGATGATATAGGACGGTTATAACTGCTCAGCTGGATCTTATTAGACTATCAAATATATATTCAAATTCTCCAGTGTACGTACTGTTTCAGCACAATTTGTTAAGTGGCAATATGTGCCATCTGCATATGACAATATGTGCTTTATACCAAACAAGATGGAGCTCACCTGAAGTATGACAAAATCCGGCAACGTGCATTTTCGGTTACAAGGACATTTGTCTACATTATTACTAGACAGAACAGCCCAGCAGCCAGCCTGGTGTAAGATAAAACCACATATGAGCTCATTGTGGTGGACCGCCGTTGTGTGGCGAGCTAACTGTGCAGTGACTGTACTCACTTCACAGCACTGCAGGATCAGCGAAGTCTCTGGCACAGAGAACTCGTTTGAATTGTGGATTTAAGCTGAACTGCGTGGGCTTTTTGTCAGAGGAGTGCAGCGAGAGTGGCGGCCTGCTGCTCGGTGTTCTGTGTTGGTTTTAATTGTGGGAGACACAGTGGCCTAGTGGTTAGCCCTGCAGCCTCCCAGCTCCAGGGTCACAGCTGCTCTGCCAGGCTCAGGCCGCTGGGAAGAAAATTGCATTCTTTCTTTGAGTGTGTGTGTGGGATTTCTCCAGGTGCTCTGGTTTCCTGCAGGTCCCAGAGGCACGCCGACTGGGTTTAGTAGAGCATGAATTAGCTGTCACTTTTTTTTTCGGGGCCCTGTGATTAAACCGCTGTGATTGATGAAGTCCTTTAAATTATGAATTGATTCTACGAAGTCATTAAAACCCTCATGGGCTGCAAGAGAGCCTGTGGCCACCTGATCAGCGATCATGCCAGGCCTGGCCCAGGTGACGGTGTGCCTGGAGCCAACAGGACACAAGGCATGTTTGTTTTCAGTGGGCGAGAGAGACCTTTAGACCGACTGGTTATTTTTATTGACACGTTCGCGTCCAGGCTCTGGAGATAACCTTCCTTTTCTTTGAGAGAGCACCCGGAGACCTTTCGTCCCCCCAGTCAGCCTCTCTGGAAGACATGTGCCCCATTCCCCTTTAAAGGGGCCGGGTCCATCGCTCTCTTTTGTTCCTGAATTGACGTCATTTCTGCACAGTTGGGGCTTCATTTAGAAAGTTATTTAGCGGTCGGACTCCAGTCCCAACTGCTTGTGAAAAGACCTTTCTATTCTACGGGGCTGCCCTGTTTTTATTCAGCAGAGCCTCGGGACTTCAGGCAGTGCAGGATGCAAGGATGAATCTCAAGTGGTAGATGCAATGACAGGAATCTTGGTATTATGTGAAGGGAGATAAGAGAGTTCCTCCATCTGGACGATCTGTGCTGTTCTTCTTCCTGTTCTTGAGGAAACCGTGTCCAGCGATGTCCTGCTACTGACATCTCGCAGCTGGGAGCTTCAGCGCTGGCTCTGGTCAGCCGCTGTCTAGCAGGACCTAACGGGACATTTAAATCATCTATTTAAATCAAGTCCTGGCAGATTTTTACCGTGAATATTTATACTATCTATATCATGTGTCCAAAAAGAACCAGAGCCCCTTCAGTTGATCACATTATGTCCTTAATAATTTACACATGTTCCTAATCTTGAGGAAAATACAGGTGATTTTCGGTGGCCTATAAGGCTTAACTGGACTGTGAATCTCCTGGAGCAGAGCTGGAGACCCCAGTCAGGGATCTGATGTTTCGTGAACTCTTCACGTGTCAAGTGAAGACGGGGCTGCAGACCACTAACTCAAACTGCTGCTTTGTGTCCCTTTCTAGAGCCGGCATGAAGAGGTTACCTTACTCCTCAGAAGATGAATTTGGCTCACCACCCAGCAAACTGGCCAGGATGGATGAACCCAAAAAAGGTACAATTTTCATTTCTCCAATTCCAAAACTTTTACTAATCACTTCTATCTTTTATTTTTAACATTTTCAAAGTGAAAGCCTTTGGTACGGAAAGGATTCTTTGAGTGTTTTGTTTTTTTTCATTCGTGTAACGAAAGATGAGTTTCCCCTTTGCACAACAGCTGTAAGAGCAGGTTTCTAAGCCACAGGCAGCTGCGGGTGATGGATGTCTCATGCTTGGACTTGCATGCGGAGTAAAGCTGCAAGGCGAAATCCTTCTTTTCTCCTTTCCTCCTTCACCAGTTGACACAGTAGCCTGAAAGAAGGCGAACCGCTTTGAGCGGGGAGCCCTAACGGCTGCCCCTTTGCCGTTTTGTCCTTGTGCAATTCGCGGCGGTAAGGTGGTGATCACGCTGCCCCCGGCTGTGAGAGAGCGTGGCTGTTTGTTGTTGTGGTCGGCTGGCCCTGGCGGGGTTTTTAATCACAGGCCCGTTTCCTGCGCTGAGGTCATTGCACACTCTTCAGCTGCCTGGCTCTTTCCAGCCTGTGCTGGCGAAAGTACATGACCGTGTATTCATTGACTTCAGGAGATAAGATAAGATCACTTTATTGGGCATATGCAATTTCTTGAATTAGGAATTTGTTGTTTCGCATACCCCAGATTGCTCTCCATGAGACACACAGATAGGGAGGGAAGTTTGGGGTCAGAGCACAGGGTCAGCCATTTATACGACACCCCTGGAGCAGTTGGGGTTAAGGAGCTTGCTCAGGGGCCCAACGGAGTAGAATTCCTCTGCCGGCCGCGGGATTTGAACCGGCAACCTTCCAGCCACAGGCGCAGATCCTTAGCCACAGAGCCACCGCCCTAAGAAAACTGGAGTCTGCTTCGTGCGCGTGAAATTCCCTGCAGATTCTTTGTAACTTTGTTTTGCCTCTTTACTGCCATCCAGTTCTTGTTTATCTCGTGCTGGTTATGACTTGGCACAAACTAAGAGACTTTTTCCCCAGTCTGAACCGGAGACACCGCAACGAATGAAGGGCAAAATGAAGAATAAATTAATCTCTCTGCTTCAAGTAGTGTGGTCAGTGTTCATTCTGAACGGAAGTAATATCGTTATTGCTCTTGAGCTGCCTCAATGTAGATGTTTGCTGCACTGCGTGCTCGTGTCACTGGCCTGTAAAAACATAGCCTCGTCTACTGCTAACTTATTATGAAAGGCACAAAAATAAAACAAGCTGTTTGACTTGCCTCCCCTTGACCGAGCACCCTGGTGTTTATTTAGGTGATGTGTCTAGCCCGGAGCAGAAACAGTTGACTTTTTCCTGATATGACCATGTTATATCAACACAGAAAAACAGCCACATCAGCAGTTTCTCCTCATGTATCATACAATTTCTTCCAGTGACAGTGTTTTGTGTGCGTTTGTGTGTTTTGCAGAAAATGCTTCATTGAAACTTACCCACTTGGGGAAAAGTACCTATGAAGGGAATCCTGGTGCACTTTTAAAAACTTTCTTTCTTGAAAACCTCCACCGGAGATCACTGGACTGTTTCTTTCCCCTTTCTATCTGTGCAAGTGTCACAGAGGACACCAATATCCTTCCTCCAAAGGATCCCACTGTCGGTGTTATATTTCTCGCTTTGTTAGACCTCCACACAGAGGTATGACTGCCCAGGCCTGGGGAGAATTGTTTGAAGGTTTGGTTCCTCTATTTCAATAATACCTTTTTTGTATCCCCCCTGCAGTGCTGCTGTATGTGCGGAGGGAAGCTGAGGAGGTCTTTGATGCCCTGATGCTCAAGACTCCTTCTCTGAATGGACTCATGGAAGCAGTGAGTATCCGCAACTTAGCATCAGGAATCATGGGGGAGCTCTGGGTCCCAGGCGTTGTGTGTAATGGAATTACATAATTAACCGGTTTAGGGACAGATGCATGAAACAGAATTAAAAACTAAATATTTTGTGCACTGGAAATCCTGTATGGAGCCTGTTTAGGCATTTATGACCAAGCTGGACAGCATGGAGAGCTCAGATCCAAGGCCTGTGTGTATTAAGCTCTCCTCTCTCTGCCCATCCATGCACTTCTGTGGGATAGGGCCGGCATGGTGCCTGGGGGCATCAGACTGGGTGAGGGTAACAGTGGCGGGTGAATGTGCTGACTGTGTGGAAAAGGAAACAGCCAGCCAAGTGGGGGGAAAATACTACTGATTCAGCGAATAGCCGTTAAGGTGTGACAAACGTTTGTTTCCGAGACGGGAGTGATATTCGATCACACCTTAAAAAAAAACCAAACAGCTCTAGGAATTTGAAAAGGGAGTTCCCTCCCGTTTCTCAGCTGGCTGATACCCCTGAACAGGCGCCAGTCTTTCGTCTCTCAGATTGGCCCTGGGCCATCGCTGTCATTCTAACTCAGCATCAGACTCTTGAGATCGGTACACATCAGAAGTCAGGGAGCTCCAAATATGGGAGCCTAGTAACGCCACAGACTTGGTAAACCCCCTTTATTGCCCAGGCTGCAGTCTGCCCAATGTGGAATATCTGTTCTGGTCCCACCAGTGGAACACAGCCCCTCACCCAAATGATACAGTGCTCACCAAGAGCACCGGGACAGCGGAGACAAAACTTATTTTTTTGCTTTACTGTCAAGTGATTCCTCTTGTGCGTTGGTGAGATGGATATGCATTACAAGTACAATATAGTGCACACTTTAGCATGCCCCGCTGGATTTAAATTTGGTGATTGACATGGACAGTCTAAGGTTTTCCATTTTTTTTTCGTGATAAACTGTCTGGTTGCACACGGGCCTTATGATTCGTGTCGTTGTCCTGCTGTACAGTGAAGCACCAGTAAGAACAGGAGCATTTTGTTGTACATGAGTGGACCATGTTTTCTCTAGACTCCAGAAAACATTCTGGAAAACAGAAAACATTCAAACTTAAAAATAAACAGAGTTTAACGACAGGAAATTGATTCCAGTTGTCAGATCACGTATACCTCTGCCGTGTAATCATTAGTTAGGCCAGGAGATCCAGTCCCAGAGGGAACTACGGTGAACTACAGTAATGACATTACCTGCACCACACTTCAGTCTTCCCACTGTCACGGAGGTTCTGTGTTGGTCTTATCTGTCCATAAAACTTTGTTCCAGAACTCTCCTGGCTGATGTTGGCCTGCAAAGCAAACTGTAATCTGTCTCATCTGTTCTTCCTGATGATAGGTTTTATATCTTGCCTTGCAGACCTTGTAATTCTGCTCTCATCTTTACAAACTGTGGATTCTGACCCCACCCCACCCTTCACCCCACAATTAGCAGTGGACAGAATCAAATCTGACACACACACACATTTACACGATTGACAAATCATGTTGGTCTTCATGCGATTGGTGTTACACAACTCCTCGTTTTGGATTTAAATATCAACATGTAAGTGTTAAATTAAGTGGACTTGAATAAGTGGGAGGCGTATTTAAATATGTTGTCATTGTCTAAACCTGGACAAGGGGGTGGAGCGTTGTGTTTAAATGAGTCTACAGTATGTCCTGTCCTAATTGGTGTGGGAAAGTTGTTGATGTAATTGTTGTAGAAAGAGTTGGAGAAAAACAGAGTTTCAAAGGATTGGAGGTCTGGAAGGAGACAAAGCTTAATCTTTTCACCATAGTGAGTTTGTTTCAAACACCACCATCACTGTGGTTTGAAACTAAAAAATTGAAAGCAACTGTGGCAAAATTAGCAGATTAGGAAGATTAGATTAGTGATCCTCTTCACCCCTTCCTTGTGCTTGCTGTGACTTCACTGACACTTATTTTAGGATTTTCCCTGACAGCTGTGATAATTTTGTCTGTTATCAGCTGCATTTTCCTTGGCTGATTGGTGATTATACCTGCGTCATTTTTCCTTCTTCTGCCTAATTTCTGTGCTGTGGTTCTGATTGAGATTCTCTTTGCATTCACAGTACCTGCTTTTCTTTCGCAGAAAGTTCTGTGTTTTTTTTATTTTGACTTTTGACTGTGGACTGCAAACACTGAATATAAAAGCAAATCAATTTAAAAAAACGGGTTGTAATTCTTTTATGAGCCTAATTACCCAACAACATACACCGGGCCAGCAATTCACATTCAATAGGTTTGATAAAACCTTTAATTAATTGTCTGAAGAGCATAAAACTGAATTGAGAAAACAAAATCTTATTTTCTGGGAGAATTGGTTGTTATTATTATTATTATTATTATTATTATTATTATTATTATTATTATTATTATTATAGTTCATACTAAAAGTATCGGTTTTGAATGCAATTTTTTAATACTTTGGAGAGCAAGATCAGATGGCTTCATGTTTCAGTTGGCAAACAACTGTATGTGGACCATGGGATGTGACTCTGTGAAAAGTGTTCATTAATTCCCTTGTTTCTCTGAAAGGGTTTCTCTGTACTGTACTATAGAAGTTTTATTTAATGCTGGTAACAGGGCTTTTTTTCCTCATTGAGTGTTAAGAATTTCTAAGACATTTGCTCTGCTGAAATATAAATTTGTTTTTCTTTACCATTTTAATAGGAAGATACCCTAAAAGTTAGACAAATTAGACTAAGCCTGTATAGCATTAAATAATATGTAATTGATCTGAAGGTCTTTTGCAGCCATTAGTAGGAAAAGGCCAGGGTAGGAGTTTCAACAATATGAATGTGTAGCTTGTTCCACACTCCCACAGCACTTTGTGTAAAGATGTATCTAGTCTGGAAGAGAAATAGTGATGATGACTGCTAATACGTGCTGTATTGTTTTAAGATTTCAGATAAATATGATTTGCCAGCTGAAAAAGTGGGGAAAATCTACAAGAAGTGCAAAAAAGGGTGAGTATTTCTTTTCTAATTGTAAACAAGAAAGTGTCTCATTTTTTTTTCTCAAAACCCAGCATGACACCTCCAAGGAAAGCTTTGTTCCTAAGAATTCAGGTCCTTTATTTGTAATATAATGTTGTACTTTCAGGTCATTCATTTGTAACGTAATGTTAAACCCAAGGCAAGACATAATTGGAAACGTGTGTAGTCTTCTGTGCCTTAACTTCAGCCTGATACTCTGTTTTCACCACAGCTCGGCCCCCTATGGCATATACTGTAGCAGCAAGGAGCTCTAGTTAAGTGTATAACTCCTGCAAACTAACATGAAACGTATGTCTGATTCCCTCTAGGATCCTGGTTAATATGGATGACAATATTATAAAGCATTACTCCAACGAAGACACCTTCCAGATTCAGATTGATGAAATTGGGGGAATGTATAAGCTCACGCTAACAGAAATATGAGCCGGGTCAGTGATTCTGAACGGGACCTTTTATGAAGAACTGCACAGCAGCAACACATTGAAAGGAAGTGACTTGTCAGATCCCGGGAGCTGTCAGCTGCAGCAGTGTGCCCAGTGGATACGGGTTTACAAATGTTTGTTTTTTTTATGCGCATACTGGGACCAAATTTTGGATCTGTATACTCACACTTTATTCTGTCTCTCGAAGGACACTGCCGTTACCTAACAGGCAGAAAACGGGCATTTCCTTTTTTTGTGAAGGAATCTTCTTTCTTTTTTGTCTCGTAGTTACTGGCGGTGTCGCACTAGCGTGAGGACAGCTACTGTTTGTTCCTTGTCATGCGGGATTGGTTCTGTTCACAGAGGGCTGTCTGTATGTGCGAGAGGGCAGCTAGCAGTTAAGACCCTGCATGGCAGGAAAGGCAAACATCCAAATCAATGACAGGCACAACTGTTTGCAGGTAGCCATGTTTCAACACTGTTTCAAAAGTGGCAGAGCCCGATTTTCCAGTGCGGATCTTTCTCATTACAACACAACGTTACAATACAACGTCAAATATGATTTGTTCTGTAAAGATTGCCAAATCGTCCACTAAGATACTAATGTTTCTGATGGTAAGGTAACCTAGACTCAGTTAACATAACCCCCCTTCTTGTGAGCTTTAGTATTCATCAGTATTTAAAAGCATATACTATTTGCCTAGAGGTTTTCTTGAAGGGGCCAATTTTTATCTGGGATATAGGCAAGGTACCCAGAAAAGGACAGAAGATGCATGTATTGAAATTCATTGAAAGTATGAACAAGCATTCGTCTGCGTAACAATATAGCAAGTACACCTTTTTTGTTTCAAAGTATTAACTCCAAACTTCCAAGCCAAGTGGATCTCAGACTAGAGATTAATGTAATGTAAAGGTATACATTCATTAGTATTCATTCATTCATTCATTGGAGATTAGTCAAGGTGACAGGTTTTTCTTCTTCATTACTATATTGTCACTGATGGATGTCTGTAAACAGTGAACTGATGACTCAGATATCCAGGTTTATATGTATAGTAAGTGCAATAAATATTATATATAATATATACAAATTATTTTTATTGTTTTTAAATTGTATCTCTTTCTAAGGAATGGGTTAAGCCCAATGAATTTTACAGATATTTACAAGCCAGCCAAGTCTTGTATTTTGGATATCGTGGGCCTAAAATTAGGTTACACCTGTTGTGTAAGAAGTACTTATCAGTTACATGTATATATTTGTTAGGAATTTAAAAACCGGGAATGGGTTTTGTTACATGGTTCTTACTCTTATTAGTAGTATTATTACTATTGTTATTTTTGGCTATGACTTTTTTTTTATTTACACATGTAAATGTTTATAACACGGGAGCATTTTTTATCAAGGGAATATTTCTCTTTTTACATTTTTTTTTTTACGTGTATGTATTAGTTCTTCTGCTTTGTCAAATAAACGAGGTGCGATAGCACTGGGGGCTGCAGTCTGGTCGTTCTTGCGAGTTCCAGTGGGGAGAAGGAAGAACTTTTTTGGTTTATATTAAGAAGCAAAGACACGGCTCTCTCAACACAAACGAGGACAAGTCCTGCTCGGAAGTGGACAGCTTTTAAAAAGGAAGGAGAGGCACTCTTCAGACTTCGTTTCTACCTCTTCCACACCCGCCTCCGTCCCTGAACTGACGATGTCATGAGTCGTGTCAGGGAAGCCGAGAACAAGACAACCTCTCGGAAAAGTCCGGATCACAGGGGCCGGAAAGAGAACAGCAGGGGTCCCCGGCTGTTAGATCAGTTAAAGTATTACCGTCTCTCCGCAGGTGGGGTGTCTTGGCACACGGCCAGTTTCAAAACACACAGCTGTCACTGCAGCGGCGAGCAGAGGCGCTCATTCACAACGCAGCCGAAGCAGAAGCCCATAAAGCCGGTTTGGGGTATGGGCTGCGCTTGCACGGCGCCCTGCTGCGTACGAGCAGAGGGTACATTGACAGCGCTGTGCTTGAATCTCTTCGAGCTGCTCTCTTCAGCTCTCTACTCGTTTCTAGAAACGTCCTGGGATTTTTAATAATAATAATTGCTTACACTTATATAGCGCTTTTCTGGACACTCCACTCAAAGCGCTTTACAGGTAATGGGGACTCCCCTCCACCACCACTAATGTGCAGCCCCACCTGGATGATGCGACACCAGCCATAGTGCGCCAGAACACTCCCCACACACCAGCTCTCAGTGGGGAGGAGAGCAGAGTAATGAAGCCAATTCATAGATGGCCACAGACTGTCAAGAACTTGGTTTTAGATCTCATCCGAGAGCCAATATAGTGCCTTTTTACAGTATAGTGTCCCCATCACTATACTGTGGCATAGACTGCAGGGTGAGCACCCCCTGCTGGCCCCACTAACACCTCTTCCAGCAGCAACCTTAGTTTTTCCCAGGTCTCCCATCCAGGGACTCACACCTGCTGAGCTCCAGTGGGCTGCCAGTTGTGTGCTGCAGGGTGATGTGGCTGCTTGCACCAGTACAGAACGGCACTGGTACACTCTGCCCACTAGCGAGAGGGGCAGCACCTGTGTTTCTTGTTTGCAGAACTTCATGGTCAGAAGGAGAGCTGGAAAGGTAACATTGCCACATGCTTGTGCCTTCACACCCAAAGCGGTTACCCTGTCTGCCAGCTGGGGTTACACGCTTGCGGTCAGAGACACAGTCACCTGCTGCACGGGGGAGTCACATGAACACCCCCCCCCAAAAAAAAAAATCTAACTGTTATTGATGTGTCTGTACTTGTGCTTAGGAATTGGCAGCATTGTGCTAGTTCTTTTCCAGTGGACCGAAGTAAACAAGGTGTGATTAAATCTCCAAACCGACGTTTTAGCGTACCACAAAAGACTGTCTGTGCTGAGAGGTGTTGTTGTGTTACTCTCTGCTTTTTTTAATAACTGCAGAATTGCTGGTGAGAACATGTAAATATTCACCCAGCACTTTATTTCTTTATTCCTGAGCTCAAGTAACACTGGCAGTGTTGCGCAGCTCAAGGCAAGGGGGGGAGAAACTGCACCTGTATTCTGCCTGCTGGCTGGAGGAGGAGACGGTTAGTAACTCGGGCCTTGACGGAAGAGAGGAGAGCCGCTGGACGGAGACAACCTCTTCCTCTTCCCTGGGCTCCGGCTGCTCTTTCAGTTTGTTTTTTAACTGCCTTGCTGTCTTCAAACTGAAAACAAAGGAAAGCATCTATCCACTTTCTAACTACTTTATCAAGCGTAGTGTCACGATCCCTCCTCCTAAGGGCGCTCCGGCTCTTTCACATTTTGCTGCTTCCGTGCACCTGCCCCCAGCCCTGCCCCTCCTTATTTAAGCCGGGCGCTCTCACTACTGCCCGGATCTGCATTGGAAGACGGACGCCCGGAGACCCGCCTACCATCGGCGTCCCGACCCTGCCAAATCCGGCGCTCAGAGCGCCTGCCCTCGTCATCCTGTTTTTCTTTCCCTGTACCGGATCCCGTTCCGGTTTTTAACTCTGTCTTTTCTTCGTCTTGGATGGATCAACCGGATTCGGACCTTGGACTTCGCCCCGGATTTCCCCCTGGACTCCCTTGGACTTGTTTGCCACGCCCCCCTGTTCGTCCGCCTGCCCTGATCCTCGTCTTCTCCTCCCCGTGTCCGTTTTCACTCACTGTCTGTCTATAGACAGGATTAGACTGTCTGCACAGGGTCCTGAACCACGCATCGTGACACATAGGGTGAGAGGGGGGTCAGAGCCTATTCCAGCAAGCAAAAGCGGCAAAACAGGATACGCCCTGGAGAGGACTCTAGTCCATCACAGGACACACACAGCTGCAAACGTGCACATTCACACCACAGTCACATTGTCCCAGATGCCAATGGATCTACCAGTATGTCTTTGGACTGTGGGAGGAAACCCATGCAAACACAGGGGGAACATACAAACTCCACGCAGACAGCACCCCAGGGCCAGAATTGAACTGTAGGCCTCAGTGTTGCAAAGTAGCAACGCAAACCACTGCGCCACCCTTGAAGGAATACATAAAAATATTCCTTTCTGCCTGAAGATAGGGTCATCATACCTTATCGCTAACAACAGCTCAGCCTTTTAATCTTGTGACTTCCAAATCAAGCCAAGGGTACCTTGTGTATCACTAACGATGGGACCTAATTAGCGGTTTAATTTATGAAAGAACTATCTTTAAATCTGGGGACAGCATTTTAACATATCTGCTATCATTTACCTTACAATACACAGTGCAATATACAGTAGCTGTTCACAGAAGCAGTCCCCAAGCCCTGACTTGCAACAGCAACACCGCCTCACAGCCGGATCTAGTCAGCAGCCTGTTCAGTCCTGGGGTGGGAGACCTCTAACGAAGTCCCGACGGCCGGTGAAAGTGGGGGACCTGTAGGGGGGCACTCTTCCCACTGGCCCAGTGCGGTGACAGGGAACACTGTGAAGAGCAAGAACACTGTGCAAGAGCTTCTGTCCTTCGAATGAGACTTTAAACTGGTGCTTTTCCACCGGTTAATGCTGTAGCATTAGCTTCAGTATGAGCAGGGACCCGTGTCGGCATGCGTCGGCTGCAAAGAAACAGGGAAACAGAGAGACACCAGGTTTCGGCGGTGGAGCCTTCTTCAGGTGTGAGGGAGAGAGGGAATCTGGCAGATAATAACACATGGGAGAACAAAAGACAGGGCAGGAGCAGGGGAGAAAGGGTATCGACACTCAGGGAGAACCGGAGAGTTGTGAAGCAGAGAACCTGCAAATGAACAGGGAGGATTAGAAGGAGACGAGTCTGCCGTTGAGAGAAGATGTGATCTTATCCCATGTGATTTCAGATGTCTTTCTCCAGTAGGAGCTCTGAAACCCCTCTGTGAGGACGCAGGCGGAGAGATCAGTGTGATCATGGCCGTTAGAGGTGAAATGGGGAACTATGGGCGTGGAGAGATCTTGGATCCTCACAGCTCTGACTAGTTCCCTGACATGGCCTACCCTCCCGTCTCACCGATGTGAAGAGCTGGACAAGAGCTGCAGTACATGAGGCTGCTGAAAGCGTTCCCCCGTCATCAAAAACATCAGCAGAGCCCGGTCCCAGCCTGGTGCCCATAGCAACTCCACTCACCTGCTGATAAAAAAGGTTATTCAGTGAGGAGGCATTCAGAGTGAGGAGCACCTCCGCAAGACGTACAAGAGAGTGGGTGGGTGGCTCAAGCGCTGTGCTTTTGTCCAGCGTGCGCTTGAGGGCTGTAAGACAGTCACCGTGGGGAATGTCGGTGTACAATGAAAACTTCTGGTCCCTGAAATGAAATTGTCGGAGAGCATGGTTAGTGTCCTTAATATATGAAGGAAGCCTGTGAACCAGTGGTCTCATAAGGCTCTCACCTATAAGGCTATTTGTTTTCCTTACTGTAATGTTCTCTGAGAAGCTACTTTTAAAGGTGTTACATGGAATAATACAATTATTATTATTATTATTATTATTATTATTATTATTATTATTATTATTATTATTAACCCCAGTGCTCTGTCACACTGTCGCCCTCGTGTTACTTGCTCTTTCAGTGGAGGAAGATGTTGGTTCCCCTCCCACATGCAAACTGCTTTGGGATCCTTGCAGATGAAGAGAGCTTCTGTCATTCTTATACAGAACAGAGGCACAGCTTGGAAGTATTGTGGGGTGATGTTACCATGTCCACCGGGGGGAGCATTGCACAAGACCCGGCAGTTCTTCACATACACAACACCAGGGTTTAAATGCCGAGCAAAAACCTACTAAGAAAAATGATCAAGCATCTTCAGGAGGCTAATTCTTCTCCATCTCCTCCCTTGATGAAGTTTTGGCTCTTTTGCTCTGATCTAACAGTGGACCTGCAGCCTCAACAAGAAAGAAACAGCAGTTTAGCAGTTTTCCTCGAGACACCTTGGTAACAATGAATATACTGTATGAACGTATACTGTGGCAGAACACCAGTGAGAAAGCATAATAGAGACAAGGGCGTTTTTTTGAAAGAGGATTTCATGAAAAAAACAACAAAAACCCCACAGCAAGTAAGTCTCCTTTCTCCTGTAGTCTCTAACAAGGGCACTACAGCTGGTGCGGTCTACAGACTTCTGTAATAATTACAGTTCATAAACCCCCAACTTGACCAGACCAAAGACTCGCAGCAAAGTATTAATAGCACTACACACATTTCAACCTCATTGTTCGAAGATAACGTTACTAAAATTGCAACGTTGCACAACAATGCGCCTGTCCTTCAGGCCTCGCCTCCTCCCTCGATAAGAAGCGATGGTAGCAGGCAGATAACCGCTCTGAAAGGACTGTAATGGCAACGAGACTGACACTAGGGGCCGCCAGAACAGCATCTCAGCAGAGGTTTGTAAATAGCTCCCCGATTGTGCGATTCGTAATGGCAATGGTGTGTTAACTATCGGAATTTTCACAATGGAACGTGTGTATATAAACTGTTTTGTGACGTCACTTGCTGCTGTTAGATAAGCAATAGTTTACTAGCCCAGCTGAACTGTTGGTGGCAGTCACCTCTAATGCCATAGGTATTTGTATAGGGTAGGTGTCAAGGGAGCTATACTGTATTTTTTTTGTGCAAATTTGTCATCTCACAATTGCAAAATCACACATTCTGCGACAAGAGCATTCCAAAACGTTGGAAAGTACTAATCATCTTTAATGAAGATGCACAGCAACTGAACATCTAGCCAAGGTAACTAAAAGTTATGAAAAGACTTGGATGCTGTCCAAGTAGGCTGAAAGTCAGGAGGGGATGACAGTGAACGGATATATCCCTCAGCATTCAGATCACAGTGTCCCCTGCAGTTCAGAATCTAACTCCTATGTAAGAAAAGCATTTCTTCTAGTTGTATTTCTGCTGTATTCTCTCTGTGTATGCTTAGATCTTGCACACAAAGCCACTGGCCACAGATACTTGGCCGGTTGTGAG